TCCTCCCGTAACTCCTTTATCTGGTGACGCAACTTGTCAACCACAGCACACCTCATGCAGGAGAGCTGACTGTCAGCCCAGGCCTCACGGAGAGGCCCCAGGCACTCCCCGCAGCCTGACACCTGCAGGGCTGCCTCTGCTGTCTGAGGGTCTGTCTGGGTTGAAGCCTCAGACACAGCCAATGCAGCACCTCCCGCAGCCATTGGGGAACGTGCTCTGCGGGTGTCATGACCATGCCCCGGGGAAGGACACACCACTGTGCAAAACGTGCAAAATGGAGAGGTGCCTTCCTTGCCTGCTGCACAAACTAACTGCTGCCTCTGTTGGCTGTGCTCTGGGAGCTGTGCTCTAGGCCTGGCTCTTATATAGGCCTCTGCCTAGCAGTGACTCACAAGGGTGCTTGACCCACCCAATCAGGAGCCACCTGAAACAAAAGCCCCAACTCCCTCTGACCAGGGCAGCCCAGAGAGCTGGTTAGCAGCAGCCCCACCTAGCTAGAACTTCCCAGGAGAAGTTAAGTCAAGGTCCCCTGCAGGAGTCCTTGCCCAGCTCTCCCTTCCTGCTAGCAGCAAGCACCGTCTAGTTCCTCGGGGGTCCCCGGAAAGTCTCCCCAACTTCCAACAAGGCCCACAAAAGGCCCAGGCAGAGCCCAGACACTGCTGCGCAAACTGCTGCGTCTGTTCGCTGCCTCTGTTGGCTGCGCTCTGTGTCCCTGCCTCAATTTTTCCGTCTGTTCAATAGGAGTAATGAACTTTAATCCAATAAAATCCTTTGAGACTCAGGGATGAAAGCACTATGCAGTAGCTATGTAACATTATTGTTTCATTATATAAGAAAAAATATGCAAACAACATGAAGCTGGGAGAGACTGCAGGATTCTGATGGAGAGGACAGAATTAGAATTCAAAGGGGTTTTGAGAAATGACCTGAAAAATTAGCATGTATTTGGATAGAGACAAGGACAATCATTAGGCAGGAATCCTTGGCTGTATAAATCCAGCATGGGAAACAGCTGTTTGGGTAGCAGTTCTGTATAAAAGGACTTGAGAGACACGAACTAAAAGTGAGCCAATAATGTGATACTGACACAAAAAAGGCAAATAACACGGTAGGATGTATAAACAGGAGCACAGCCTGTGCAGTCTATGGAGTAATCTCTTTGCTCAGCATTAGTAGGATCTCAGGTGGAATATTTTGTCCAGTTTGGGCAGCACACTTATACGGAGGATAGGACTGACAAAGGAACTGTTCAGGGAAAGCAATGAAAATGATCAGAAATTGAGAAAACGGGACTTACCTACAGAGGCTGAAAAATAAGAGTTACTTTGTCCAAAAAAGAGACACCTGGGAGTGATGTGCTGTGTGTTTGGAAACGTGAAAAAGATAATTGCAAAGAGGGTAGGGCTGGTCTTTCCCCATGTTTTTGACAGAGAGGATTAGAATTACATCGGTTAAAGTGCTGCAAGAAAGATCTCTGTTAGACATGAGGAAAAACGCTATAACAGTTAGGACACTGAATTCTTGCAATATAATGTGTAAGGAAGTTGTAGGCTCTTATAAACAAATCCTTTTAAGACCAGAAATAACAATTTTCTATTGTTTTTACATTTTAAAAAAAGGTTACTTCTACTAGGGTATATAAATAAAATATGTTTCATCTACTTCCTGCTTTTCCAGGTAAGCAATATTGCTTTTTTAAGGAATTACCTTTTCTTGATTTGCATTAGTGAAGAAAATCTTTCTTTTACTAATCAGTCACTGGTGGTTATCCATTCTCTTATTCTACTGTGAGAGGAATACTCAAAACAAATGGTACATACTGCAGTGAATAATGTACTTTATTGAATGTCCTTATAATGTAATGCAATGAATATTATTTTTATTGCAGCTTTAATTTTTTTATAATTATGTAAAAACTCTGTCCTAAAACAACCAGTTATATAATTTGAACTATAAATTTCTTGTATTCGTTTTTAGGAAAAGATTTGTGCATTTTTAAATTTTAAAAGCCTAGGCAATAAAAACCTTTATTTTTGCTATAGACATTTATCCCACAGGAGATGCATACACACAAAGTGTTCTTGCCAGTTATGAATAGTTTCTGTCTTTTTAAAACTCTTGTATCTAAAGAAATATTTCTGTATCTTGTAATTGGGATTGCAGTCCAACATTTGTCTTTCTTCTGAGAAGAAATATGAATATTGTGAAAATTTTAAGCCTTCTCCATTGTCCATGAAGATGTCTTTACAAAAAGAAAATGATTATTTTGGAAAAATAATCTGAAAAATTTCGGGGTTGGAGATTTTCACATCCCGAAGTGTACTGATCACCACAAAGAGTCACTGCTTGTTACAAAACAAGTAAATTTTGAGAAGTGTTTGTTTATTTTATTCTGATATTATGTTTACTTGCTGCAACTTGTGTAAATATTTTGGCAAAGGACTAAATTAATCACAGACACCAAAATAAATTAAACATTGCATCATTAATTAATTAAACAGTTAAATCCTTTATTCTTTATCATTCCAAAACAAACAAACAGACTTCTTTACTTGGAGAAGAAAATAAAGTGTAAAACTGACACCAAGAAGACTAAAACATTGATGGAGATGACTGAAAAAATATTTTTTATTTTGGGATTCACTGCTCCTAGTGATAAATTAGTTCATCAGAGAAGATAATATGTACCATTTCTTCCTTAAACTTTGGTTCTCCTTATGAGAAGGAGAGGAAGATAGCTTGATTTTCCTTGTGGAACATAGGCCGCTTCTAAAAAGACTGTAATCAGTGCATCCGTGTGAGCACTCAGCGCGCTGGGTATGTAAACTATTCTGTACATTCAAAATTCCATTGAAGAGGGAGTTGCCGCCATCCTTTTTTTCAATAGAGAGAGAGCTGAGTGAATTCACATTGAGCAAGAAATTACAACATACTTAACAAGCTGGTTGTGATGTACTGGCATCTTCAAGCAAAAACTCTCAGAAATACTTTCCATGATGCTGTGCCTTTGTCTTTACAGGTCATGAGTTCTGGCTGGGATGATTAAATTGTTGTCTCACTCAGTGTCTCCATCAGCTATAGGACTGTCACCTGTCTTGCAAAGAATAGGAGAAGATAGGTCATTTACTCAAAAGGGCACAACTTTAGGTTGAGTTACCTTAAATGAGTATAAGCAGCTTCTCTGCAGATTGCTGTATTTCTTATGGGACGTCTCCTCTGCAGGAGCGGAAAAAGTCCAGGGAATAGCACAGAATCTGGGAGACCAAGGATGGGTTCAGGGGAAGGATTCACTGTATTATCAAAGACACTGGCTTGTGGAATAATATGGGGCATCTTTGACAGGAAAACCAGCTGAAGTCAAACAATGCAGGCTGGAAAAGAAACTGGATGTGGAGGAGAAGTGACCCGGACGGATTGCTTGAGAATAGGAATGTTTGAGTTTTATTTGTCTTAGCTTATTAAAACTTAGAAATTGCACTTTTACTGATTATTTAAAAGGTATAATTAAAGATAATCAGGATGATAGTTGCTTCCCAGCTGTGTGCTTCCCAGCACGCAGAAGGTGTCTGGTGCTCTTTCATAGTAGTTACAAAATATTAAAACTGTTACAGCAACTACGAGCCAATATGAGAGAGATGGAGAAACTTTGTTTGCGAGTCCGGCAGGAAGACATCCCAATTCTGCAAAGAATGATAAATCCAGTTAAAGAGGAAGCTTCATTTGCCATAAAAGAGTTCCTACAGCTCCATTCTGAATCTGCAGAAGAACTTAAAAGGCAACTTGAAAGACAGGAAGATACCTCTTTAACCAGATCTGCAACTGTAGGAGGAGGTAGTAGTATATCATTTCTGTATCTGTTATATCTATATTGTTGTATCCTGACAGTGTTTTCTGACCAGATATAATTAAAATAAACAAGTTCTTAGATTTTGGTTGAATAATAATTGTTAATCGAGAAGCGGATTTTCCATCCCTGCACCATGCTTTTCTCATGGCCTGTTAATACAGTATTATGTGACTAAGTTTAGATAAGTAGAGAATGCTTTCTTCAAGTATCTTAAGATATAAGATAGATGTGACCTTCCAGGGAAAAGGGCCTCAAGTCTTGAAATAGAAGACTGTTCGTAGGAAGAGAAATACTTTTAACGTTCTTGTTTCCTGGTAGCTCAATTTCTTTTTCTCCCTTGCAAATCACTTATCACTTGCAAGTGATCATTTAGGCCATTTTCACTGAGTTAGTGCTTGCAGTGTCAAAAGAAAAGTAATTTTTATATGTCAGACAGCATAACATGCTGAAATATCTGGAAAGGAGGAGCACTTCATATAAAGGAGAACATGTCTTCATGTAGCGTTTTGTCTTGGTAACTGGCAAGAAAGCAGGAAACAGTATAAATCCATGTAAATGAAAGATTTTGAAAACACACACAAATCAGACATATTTGCTGCTTTTCCATACAAACTCTGCCTTTTGTCCTTTATTCTTCTTTCTTCTTCCCCTTATGCTCTGGCACTGGCTGGAATTCTCTGCAGCTGATCTGTGATAAAGCTGGTTACATCAGAATTAAATCCTTCTACAGAACAGTAACTAGTTGGATTGCAGCAGTAGCAGTATTGTTTCAGCTTGTTTGGAAATGTAATGTGTCTTTAAAATTGAAAGTGTTTTTTCAGTCAACGGTACTGTAGAAAAACGTGAGCATATTTTATTTAATGAACTTTCTTATTGCTATGTGCAGAACTACAAGAGCTGTTTCGAATGTAGTTAAACGAGGAGGAAAGTCTAATGGGCAAGTGGAGAGAAAAGAAATACAGGTTTGGAAGACTGGGCTTGCTTTTGAATGTCATGTGCGATGGTGTCAGAAAGTCTTACTAAAGTCAGGATAGACTAAATATGCACTTTCTCTCTTCCTCCTAGGATAGTAGAAAAGAAATTAAATTGTTTTGATATGATTGACTTTCGACATGTGAATCTTGACTGTTTTCAGCATTCTTTAGCTTTGAGATGTTTCTGTATTGATTATTCAGTAATTTGTTCAAATGTCTTTATGGGTTTCAGAGTTTGGCTGCTTGCTGCATCCCCCTTCCCCTCCAAAAAACATAAAGATAACAAATGAGTCTGCTCTTTTGCAGTCCTCTAGGATCACCTCACACTCTCCACAAGTTCTCAGAAATAATGTTTGGTCTTTCAGAGGTTGTTTCTTAAATACTGTAGAGTGAATTTCCTCAAATCCTGAAAACCTGAATCAAACTAGCTCATCTAAATATTTTTAACCTATTCTTTCTGTTTGAGCCTATGCTTTTTTCTTATTAGAATTAATTGCATCAAGTATTTGATCACAGCTACCTTTTTAATGAAGACTGAAGTAAAATAGGCATTCAGTATTTCATCTTTCTCTGGGTCAACCATTATTTTCTCTCTTTACCTGGTAATGGACTTATACTTCCTTTGTCTTCCTCTAATTTCAGTGGTATTCATAGAAACCGTGCTGCCATTTATGCCCCGTGGTAGTTTTAATGTATTTGCTTCTTAGTCTTTGTGATAGAGATCTTCCATGCATAAATTATTCCTTTGTACTTGTCTTAACTGAGTGTCGAATTTTTGATTCCTGGTGCATTAAAGAGCTCTTGCTGAAGCCATACTGGTTTCCTGTTTTTACACCTTTTCCTCTGCATCAGGACAATTTACTGTCACCTGGAGTAAAGTATATTTTTTTTAGTGTCTGCCAACTCTTCTGCATTCCTTTACTCTTCAGGAACTTCTTCCTGGTAGCTCCTGCTAATCAATTTGCTGAATTTGTTCATATCTCTTTTCGGGAGAGCTCATTGTCTTTGGTCTTTTGCTCTCAGTCTTTCCGTAGACTAGTGAACTCTGGTATGCCGTGATCTCCTTCATCCAGATTACCTGTTACTTTTAAACTCACTGCAAGCTCTTCTCTGTTATGACCAGAATAAAATCTAAAATATTTGTTCTTTTAGTAACTTGCTCCAGTTGTCCTCAGTACATTCTGATATTTTGCAGATGGCAAAATTCCAGCCTCTGGAAAGGCTTTGTCTTCTCTAACTGCTTTTCTAACAGTTACATAGGTTGTAAACGGGAACTACAGTTTAATTTCAAAGAACAGGCTTAATTTTTTTAATCTGTAATACCTTTGAAGTACGGAGAAAATTGAGCATAACTACACTTTAAAAGACAAGAAATTGATCAGAACGATTGGGATGATAATAGAAAAATATTACTGGAATGACATGCTCCTACAAGTCAGCTCAAGAACGCAGAAATAATTCACCCTATATCAAGTGAAACATGCAGGCAGGCAGACAGCTAAATATAATTGTCTGTTCCTTTTTTTTTTTTTTTTTTTTTTTTTTTAAAGTTTGGCTGACTGTGAAAGCAGTTCGGTTGAATTACTAACCCAGATGCAATGTATTGCCTGTTCTTTTGTGCTTGGAGGCTACAGACCTGAAAGTAAATCTTGGCTACTGATCCTAATCAAAGAAGTTCAGTGTGCCCGTTCTTTGTCAAAAGTTGCTTCCCATCTAGTAGAGAAGGAAGGAGTTTACAAATTCAAATTGCTAATTTAGGAAGCATGACAGTGAAATGATGTAGTTCCTTCCCCCTTCACCATCCTCAGCTCAAGTCTAGTAGAAATAGAATTTAATTGCATTTTATGCAAATATTAACAAAAGGTGAGACTCCTCTCTTAAAATTACTAACATCTTTTAACTCATATATTCTCATGTATTGAATTTTCCAGAGCATTAGATTTTCATCTCAAATGTAATGAGGTGTGAAGCTGTTGTGTAAAGTCTGTAAAGATGTTTTATATTATTGCATTGCTGTGGAGATGCTGTAGGTGAACTGGTGGAGCCCCTTTCATTCTCAGTTCTATTACAAATGGTGTTAGGCTTGATAAGACATGAACTTCTGAATATAAATGTTGTACTCCTAGTTTCAGCCCAGATGATACTTTACCTTCTCCAGCCTTCTTATTCAGTACGTTACTTTTCTGAAGTGAGGAAGGAATTTTCTTGGGAAGAATTTTTTCACTAGTTTGTTACTTATCAGAGAATGATAACAGTGTAAACCCACTTACAATTTTAAGTTCTCTTGAATGTGTAGAGGTCATACAAAGCCTTCAGTATCATTTATGTCTTTTGGGGTGTGCGCTTCTCCACAGTAGATCTGCGTAGATTGTTAAGGACAGACCAGAGTAGGGAACATCATATATAAGGGTCCAGTTTTGCTTAGTGAGCTTTTTGTAATTTGAATATATGCTTACATTTGGATATATGATGAATTATGCAGAAAGTGGGAGAGGGATATTTTGGAATTGAGTGTATAATATTAATTAATCATATATTATAGATCAAAAATAGGTTCTGGAAGAATAGAAGATGATTGTAGAAGTTGAAGTTCTGTCAGTGTCTGGACTTTTAGGGGAGGGTGGGCAGAAACGATTAGAAAGACAATCCAACAATCCCAAAATAAAATTCAGAATCACTTAACGCATCCTTGTTACTCAGCTACTCTGCTCACCTAATAATTATGGCTGAGTATCATCGGCCTCATTGACATTAAAGAGACTTCTGCTGTTGATCCTAGAATAGTAAGATTTAATCCTTACTGTTTTTTGAGGTGCTGAAGAAAAAATATTGAAAAACTGCCAAATGTTATCAAAATATATCATATTTTTTATTTTATCTTAAATTAATTCCATGAGCAAGCATACTGTATTATTAGGCTTTTTATTGAACATTATTATTTTTCTTTATTTTGCATGATTTGCATCTGTTGTAGTAACAGTTACGTAATATTGTTATAATAGCTTGGCATATTCGTTGTTCCTAAGGAAGATTTTAATGTGATATTTACACTTTAATATTATTAGACATATCTAACCAATCTTCCTTATATTAAGCTTTCTCCTGCATTGGCTCTCCTGTGGAAGTAAACATCAGTGTTCTACTAAAGTAGCCATCTTCTTGAGAAATGGAAATTGTCTAAATGAACATGATCATTTACATACATATGGGCTGTGGCCTACCTCTCATACTCTCAGGCTTTTCCTTAATCTTTACTGTGACAAGCCAAGCCAGACTTGTTTGTTATTACTTCTGAATTACTTGTCCGTAATTAAATACTTGTCCATTATATCCAAAATGGTTCAAGGCTGAGCTCTTGGACTGGAGGAGGCATATCATCTGTTCATCATAGCTGCTTCCCACCATCTTGCCTTGCTGCCTTTTGTTCCCCATTTTTTCCACAGCCCCTTCTCTTCCTGTCTTCTCTAGTCGACCCAGATGATTTAGAAAGGAAGGTGACTGAGAGTCTCTCCTTTACGCTGTTGAGTTTTAAAAGTTTGCCACCCTCACAGTAACTTTACCTAATTGGACACAGCATTTAATGTTGGGGGCATGTTACCAAGTTTTCAGTGCTTTTACTTTGAGACCCTTTTTTTTTTTTTTTCAGCTTCTTTTTGTCCTGAGTGACTGAAAATCAAACTAGTAGCATAATAATCAATCATAAAATGAATAATTGCCTGTTCAGTTTTGGAAGTGCGGTGTTTTTGTGTCGTATGTAAATGAAAAGCTTTTATTCCAAGCTCTGTTTTCTTCTGCAAAATTTTAAAGCTCAGCTGATACAAAATTAATTAACTGACCTTGAATTCAGCAGTATAATTTAATCTTATTTTCAGAACTGACTGTGAAAGCATGTTGGTAGAAATGAGTAAATTTCTTTGGAAATAACTTTAAAAAGCTGTGTAATGTTGTGAGAATTTTTTCCTACGTAATAGTTTTCAAGACTGTTGCTTGGCTTTGAATTAGGTCAACTATCAATATATCCTTGAGAAACATTAAGAGCAAGAAAACTAGCGTATGTCACCCTGCAGTCTGATCCAGTTCATTTGCTTACAAACATCATGTTTTTCATTCAGAAACTTTATATAACACTGAAGGGAAGGATGGCTCCCAAAGTTTAAGCCAGATGTATTCCCCTCTTCCTGAAATACCTCAGGATGAAAATGCAGCTGAGTCATGGGAAAATTTAGAGGAGGTATGTCGGCACTTTCCTACTGCCATTTTGATGCTCTTGTTTTTAGCAACTAATAAGAAATAACATTTGTTTTTTTTATTTGTAGGACTTGATTCAGCTTAACCAGTTGGTGACTGAATTTTCTCTATTAGTCAGTGTAAGTATTAATTCTACACTCCATCTTAGCTGGTGATTTGTACAACAGCAGGGTGAACGGGTAACTCCAAGTTGAGGAATAAAGAGATGAGCAAGACTTCTGTCCCTAATCTGAGCTCAGACTGAGCTAGTATCACTTGATAGCTGTGATACAATAGCAGAATAATATTAATTGAATTGATTCAGTCCAGTATTAAGCAAATTGAGATTGCAGCATTTTAGTCACTGTTAGGAACATCAGGAAAACGCCAGTGACTGACTAGAGGTAGAGCAGTTTCCCCACAATGAGCTGAAATGCCTGGACAAAGGTGCTGTCTTTGCTATTTTGGGCCTATGGTAAATACACTTAGAGTTTCAAAGCCTATACATTTACTGTTTTCCAAAGTCATAGGTGATGCACAAGGTGTTTATGTCAAATTGCCTGACAGTAAGCTGAAAGGTTCTCTTTTGGTTTTCAAGTAGTAACCATGAGGAATATGCAGAAGTTGTTAGTGTAAGGTACTTCACTGCCCACTCTGGCAAGAAAAAAACCCAAATACTAATGCTCTTCCTTCTCTACATCTCTGCCTTCCTGCTACAAGTACCTTGGTAGCAGTCCTCTTGATTCAGGCTCTGTCAAGGTTATTTTCTGAGGCGGCAGTAATCTATTTCAACGCTAGTGCTGGTGGTTGCTCCGTGTTCTTGTCACCAGAGAAACTGCTGCTGTGCTAACCAGTGCCCTTTGCAGGGCCTCCTTTGCCACGTGCTGAACCTTGGCAGCAGCCTTGAACTGCTGACCAAACCTCTACCCAGGCCCATTCATTCTTACATTTGCTAACTATGGCAGTGATGATGAAACTTCTCTTGCACAGGTGGGTGTTTCTCAGGTGCTTGTCTCAGGTGGTTTTTTTTTTTTTTTTTTTAACTCTCTCTCACATGGGGATACTAGGAAAGTTTCCCTCACTTTTCATCATGCCCTTTCTTTGTTCTTATTAAATGTGGCTGCTTAAAGGGCTTGTGCATCTTCCTCATCCATGGTTAAGTCTGAAGGTTTACTTTCTTCCTATATCATAGGAGATTTAAACCTACAATTCTCATCTCTCAGGAGAGTTATTTAAGCTCCGTGATCTTAGGTTACTTGGAATAGGTGCAGCTTTTAGCCTCTGTGCTGAATCTGTGCTGATTCACACTCTCCAAAAATGACCAAGTTTCATTAGGCCAGAAAGGAACTACAAAAATTTTACTCAATAGCCTGCATGTTAGCAGCTGAAGCTAGAAGAGAGGAGCTCCTGTTCACAGGGCTTTCTGAATTTTATACATAACCATGATTAGATACAATAGCGAGTATCTGGTGTGTTTAACAATGAGGAATGGCTAGTGAATGAAGATGCCATAACTGGGTTCATCAGTTTCTGAAGAAGAAAAAGTTCAGAATGTGTATTATTTTAAGCTGAACATTGGCCATCTCATAGTTTTGTGATGTAAAATAGCCTAGGAACTGCTGAGATTAAATTAAAAACAGATAAAAGAGAAAAACTTGTATCATCATCTGTTCCAGTGAGAGAGAGTTCTCTGGGGGAGGTTGCAGCGGAATATGGCTGCATTTTGAGAATGTGTGGAACATTTTTGTACACATCCCACAACAGTAAAACACAAAGTGATAGCAAGTATAGTTTCAGTACTATCAATCAGCATTATATTTGTAAAGTTGAGGGTTTATAATGTCCAAATTAAATGTGTCATCTATTTAGATTTCTCACTAATCACTCACTGCAGCTTTGTATGTTGTAGTTAGTACTGATCTTATAAATGCTTGTTATAGCTCTTTTTTTTTGAACATGAAACAGCAGGAAACAAAAGTGGTAGTTCAGATTATTTTTCCCTTTGGAACACAATTTCATTTATCCACAAAAAGATTTAGAAATCGTGTGTTTAGGGTTGCTTTTCTCTAACTGTAGCAACACATTGTATAATCTTCACACCATGTCATTATTTAATAGTGAGGGTTTTTTTTTTTTTTTTTGCAAGTAAGTAAGTTTGTAGTTTCAGCATGGTTCATCAGAAACTATTAACGAACCACCATTAAGCCTGCATGGCTACAGTGCATAGCAGATGAAAGCGGCTGTGGGGCCCTGATTACAGGCATTAAAATGGTGTGTATTGGCTCACTGCTGCTTCCCAGCAGGTTACCTCACTCATAATTCCTTTGCATCTAGTCTCAGCAGGAGAAGATTGACAGGATTGAAGACCATGTCAACAGTGCTGCTGTGAACGTTGAAGAGGGAACCAAAAACTTAGGGAAGGTAGGGATCTGCTCCTGCTGGTGAATCAATGGTACTCTGCCTCCCAGCAATCCTCTGTATTAACCCAATTGATCTGCCGTCTTTAATGCTGAGGGAGCCAGCAATTAAGGAAATGAGGAAGAAAAGACACATAGGTAGCTGGGAAAAAAAAAATCAATCTATCTCGCTTGTAATTTTCAATCACATCCAGGCTACTAGAAAATACATACATATTTTTTATATATGTGTGTGTATATACGCACACACACACACACACACACACGTTTGCTTGATGTCTCATTTTATGCTGTTCTGATGCTACTTTGAATGGTGTACCTGCAAAGAGAGTATTCAGTGGTTGGCTCACAGGAATCAAATGCGCACGAACTGTCAGGTTGATGATGACATGTAATTTCGATCCCATGCTACGTATACGTATGTCAGTGATAGTTGCTAATAACGCACAAACCTAGACTGAGACACGTTGTTGAAAAGTCTGAGCATTTTCTCAATTTCTCACTTGACCTAATGATGTAGAGTAGGTAATAGATGGTGTACATAGTCAGTGAGTAATACGTAAAATGACCTGGTTTCCCAACTACATTCATGAGAGAGCTCAATTTTGAAGTGTGTGTGTGGCCCGTTCTGTCATACCTGTGGAATAGTCGTCTTTTTTTTTAAAGCTAATTTGTAAGGTTTATTTATCACTGAGCATTCAAGTCTTTGCCAAGAGCAATGAGGGGAAAATGCACATCACCACAGGCAAGTATCCTAACCTTCCCCCCCTTTCTCCTCCTTTTACAGGCTGCAAAATACAAGCTGGCAGCTCTGCCTGTTGCAGGTGCAATCATTGGTGGAGTGGTGGGGGGTCCTGTTGGTCTCCTCGCAGGCTTCAAAGTGGCAGGAATTGCAGCTGCGCTTGGTGGTGGGATTTTAGGTTTCACAGGTGGAAAATTGATACAAAGAAGAAAACAGAAAATGATTGAGCAGTTCTCTTCCAGCTGTCCAGAGCTTTCTCGCCAAAGTGCCAAAAAATCCAACTGAAGTATAGTTTCCTTATGACTAGGAACAGAAGAATAGTAGTCATGATGATGACAGGCAAGGCTGAGTTGTGTTAATTTTGACAACAGAACTGATGTTCGGGGGTGCGTGATATGGTAATGTCAGAACTTAGGGGGCTTTTCCTTTTTAGATATGATAGGGAACATCAATCCTGCAACTTGGAGAACTGTGTAGGTGGCTTTTATTTATAAAATTCTTAGGCGAGGCATACCCACAGCTGTAATGATGGATGACAGGTGCTAAGGCATTTGGAAAACTGTAACGTTTTCCTGAGGAAAGGCACGCAGAAGTTGGAGCGTTTATTGTAGGATTCCAAAGATGAGAGCATAAACTCGCATCCATCTTTCTTCTTTGCAGTACTTTTAAGATTTACTTTCATTTCTTTTGTATTCCAAACCTCCTCCTGTATATAGCCCTTTGTATAAACGATTATACCTGTTCAATAACTGCACACGAAAGCCCTTTGTATAAACGATTATACCTGTTTATACCTGCACACGAAAGCATTTGCTGTCATGAGAAGAGTTAGAACATAGGGTCAGCATTGTGAAAAAACTCACATATACCCAGCACCTGTCTGCATCAGCCAGCTGAGATCAGCACCAGCTTTTCCCTTTTTCAGGTGCTACAAATTTTTTTGGTTTTAATTGCAAACACCCATCTTGTTCAAAGTGTAGTTAGGAGTGAAATAGCCTAAGAAACAAACACTGCAGGCTTGCTCCTGGAGAACAGTCAATTTCCATGACTGTTCCCAGCTCCTAGCCTTGTCATGAGAACTGCTGTACAGGATTAAGTGCTAAACTGTGGAATTTTGAGCCAGGAACTGCAGCCTATTTAGGTGGTGCGCACGGTTTACATCCTTACTTTGCCTTTTAAGAATGCATTTACTTCTGCAGCTTCTCTGTTTGGATTACAGGAGTGTTAACGGGTTCTCATTTTCACATAATCTTACTCTGTATCATGAGAAGGTCCTATCTCCATCCTTCTAGGACAGTTCCTGTACTATTGCTGCTACTGCTTGGGAAAAGGGAAATACAGGTTGGAAAACTGCTTTTTGAAGTTTTTTAATTATCAGTTCTTCTGAGCCCTGCAAGATAATACTTGAGCCCAGTTGTATTTGAGTGAACTATCGGTCAGTGCTCAGTGATGGGACTCCCGAGCAGGCATAAGACGCTGTAACAGGGAACGCTGTATTGGAAAGCGTACTGTAACAAGAGGAGATCTCTTCTAAGCAACACTTTTGATATCATCGTTGGAAATAACTGTCTGCTAATGGCAGATGATTTTTTTTTTGTGCCTGGATATACTGCAAGCAACTGCTTGTTACAGCATAAGTATCTTTCTGAACAGTTCTTGCTTAGTATTTTTAAAATAAAAATATGATCAAAATTGCTATCAGTCAGAACATCTTGTCTATTTTAAGTAGGGCTGAGGCTCAGGGAAGCAATGTGGGCAAGAATAGTTTTCACAAGTAATCACTAACATTGTCAAAACTGCATGTGTTAAAACCACAGTGCCTACATCTGTAAAGTCAGCTGGCGTGGAAAACATGACTTGAGTTATCCAGCTCATTTGCTCATGTCATGCAAAAAAATACTTTCTTTTCTGCTCTGGACTTACACCCATTTAATGAGCTTGTAACAACTGCATACTAAGGTTGTTCATTCCTTTGCTCAATAATTTCTAATTTAAGGAAGAAATTGAAAAAAGTATGATCTTTGTAAACTGTGATTGATTCTTTGATTTTAAAAGGTTGTGTCTGCTTTCCTACTCTATGCACATACCTTTGTGCATTTGAATGACAGCAGCCATGTCAGAGACGTTACAGACACCACCCTCTCCCCCAAGCTGGACTAAAGCCAAGACAATCGATGCTCACAGATGGAATTACTGTCACAAATTACACAGAGTCAGCTTAGTATTTGTTTGTTTTATGAAGTGTCTAGCACAAAAATTGTTCTTCTTACTTACATCTTTAAGGAAGCAATTTCCAAGTTTAGCGTGTATACAATGTTTTTGGATGGTTTTATTTAAACTATGCTTTTTTTGAAATAGATAGGTTATTTACATATTTAAGGAAATAGGGGTATCTGAATAACCAAACTAGCATTTAAATTGCTAGGGATGTTAGTCAGAAGATATATGAGATATACATAATTCTTTCAGACGAAATAAAAGCTTTTCCCTATCAGATGGTTTGTAGTGTTTATTTAGAGTGTTATTTCCTTTTGACATCTAAAAAAAAAAATCAATGCCTCTCAAATTTTATATTATTAAAATTATTTTATTACTAAGATTTAAGAATCCTACATTCAGTTACCAAACACATGCTTCAGCTATTGAAATATTTACATAGACTGAAATTGACATAAGTTCCTAAAATGTCGCATGCGTCTGGTAACTCAAACATATGCTAGCTCAAAAATTGACTTCTTATCTTGAACTAGAATGAGGGTTTGGAACATTTTTGTTCCATACTAGGAACAAACTAATGGCCTAACAGCTTCCCATGAAAGCCCTGAGAAGCTTTCAAGGTAGTTGCTAGCTGAGCAGCCAGTGGTTAAGACCACTGATGTAAAAAACAAACAATTCAAGAGCTGAATTTGAAACACATCTTCCATTTTGGACAGCATAATGCACTTGCTCTCCATGCAAATTCTTTGTGTCATCAGACACTTCAAAAATTTGAGTGATACTCCAAACCACATCAGGCATAACTAGACTTCAGCTATTCAACCTTCTGCTTGCAAACAGAAAACAACTTAAAAGTCAGGACATCCCAGTCAACAGTCAGCAAGAACCCAGCAGAATCAGGTCCAATTCCAGCAAATACACAACATGAAATGACTTGAATGCATAACTATCATATACCTATTATGTCTAATTGCCTACCTAGTGCTCGGATGCCAACGCTCTGGGAATAAGTCCTTACTGAGAAAAGCATGCTTGGAGTAAGAAATGGGGAGGCACATCTCTCACTTTCCAGATGAACGCACCAGCCACTGGACTGTTGGTTGTATAATGCGGTAGGATCACTCTCCAGAAGGGCAAGTTTGGATGCTTCCACCAAGCAGCATTCGTAAATAAGGATCCCAAAACCAGGGACCTCAAAGGATTGAGATCAGTTATTCTGGGGCACATGCAGAAACTGACTAAAAATTTCAGGTGTCTGAACAACTCCAAAAAATCTGCAGCACCTACAGATACCAAATGGCAGCCTCAAAACCCTACCCAGTTCACATCTTTGGATTCAAACTGAGAAGGGATATGGTTCAGCTGCCCAAACGCCTGATTTGGCATGAGATGGAGAAGGGGACAGAAAGAGAAGATCTGGCTTTTAAGCACCTTATGTGAGCTCCAAAATGGAGAATCATAAAACAAGACCAAAAAAACTGTACTCGTAAACAAAATTTTGTAATGTCATGGACAAAGCAAGTCATGGACCTAGACACTTGTAATCAAGTACTGTACAAATCCAAAACTAGTTATTAGTCTCGATAACAACGCTCCCAACATTAACAGGAAGTGTAAGATGGAAAAATATGCATGTGTTCATCTCAGCATGTCTCAGCAGTGTTCTCAAGCAGCTTAAAGATTCTTCAAGAATGCTTATATTCTGTTGTTATGCACAACAGAAAAACAAGGAAAGTAGTAATTCCTTCTTCAGAGCAGAATTCAAAGAACATGCAGTAAATATGACATAAGTCACACTACAAGCGTTACAAGGGTAATAAATTTGGAATGGCTGCTTGGTAAGTAAACGGCTGCCGGCAAGGCAAGGGCCCCAAAGGAAGATGACCATTGTAACACTTGTAAATACAGATCAATTTAAGACTGACAAAACTAAGTTGGCAGTCTAGCTCTAGTGCTCTCCTACTTTGAAGGGTAACAGTCATGTTCTTTTAACACAATTGTGCATATAATAATCTTAAGAGTCCAAGGACATCAGTGCTGGTCAATACAGCCCTATCGTTAAAGATACAGCTACATCATTAGGATTTCCTTCCTTCTCTTGATATTTTAAGTCAGACTTGTTTAAATAGCTTAGAAATTTACATCCAGTAAAGCACCACACGAGATTCTGTAAAACTTTAATTTATTCCCCTCCCAAGTATCCAGAATAGACCCTCTTAAGTTGGAGAAAAATGTGACAAAGAAATAGATTACCAGGATAACTGTTCACATGAAGAGGAAGAAAAAAAGCACATACTACCAAGGTTACACAGAAAACAACCCAAAAGTCCTATTTAATGGGATAGTGCAAGTTAACAGCATGTCTCTGGCAAGGATACCTTCATTTGGATTATAAAAGTTTTACAGAACAGAGTTAGATCAAGAGTCTGGATGGGTCTCTGATATTTTACTATAGCATTAGGAACGTACTGTGTGAAAGATGCTGTACAGAGTGACCCACCAAACAAACGTATTTACAAGCCTGGGGAGAAAAAAAAAATTATTTTTCAGTTTATTCAAAATAAAAATACACATAGAATTATGAAAATATAGGTTTACTATTTCCACCACACAGAAGTCAATGCTGCTCTCTGAAAGGCTTGCAAGATTATTTCAAGTTTTTAAAGTTCATCTTTTTCCCTCAATAAGGTGTATCTATGTTCACTGGGTGCTAGTTTCTGGAATGAACTCTCTGGTGGGCTGCTTGCTAAATCCTGAATGGGCTGAAAGACAGAACAAACAGTAAAATCGCTGGTTAGACTCATTTTAATAATCAATCGCCTTCATTAAAAGACTTTTAACGTTAATTATGCATGACTGCATGAATGTCCAGCCTTCTCACAAACTGAGCACTTTTTTTGAAGGCACATTATAATTTTTAAATGGAATACCATCCACACATACATTTAATTAAGCATCTTCAGTTAAGGACATGCCTTTCGTTAGCACATCTCACAAAGGAAACTGCTATCACACAAGTTTCTGTGCAAGTGAAATACTTCAAGTCATTTTAGTCAAGTGTACCCCACTGTAGGAGATCTGTTCAAGTCTGTCTGCCACTTGATGTGAAGGTGTTCTGGTTTGTATGTTTGTTTTTGAGGTACCAGGAAAAAAATGCCATTAGTGACACACTTAATATTTTTCAATTATTTTCCTGCGGAAATAATAAAAAAATACGTGCAACTCAGAGACATCCATGACCCGAGACAGCAGCTTCCAGTATAATTTTAAGCCTAGTATATCCATAATAGGGGCATATACATCTTCCACAAGATGGCAAGATGCCATATGAAGATGAGAAAGTAAACATAGCTAGGTAACTAGAATTGTAATGCATTTTTCAAGGCAGAATAGAGACAGGAGCAAGTCTACAACTCTGGGCAACCAGACTGTGCCCTAATACGCAGCAGAATCCAGGCAACTGACAGGGACTCTGCTCCTTGGCAAAGCTTCCTTCACAAGCAGTTGTCTCAGAGTATTTCTTTCTCGGGCACTCCCATCCAGCTCAGAGCTGCTGACTAGCCTCTGCTTTAGTCTCCAGCATTACTCAGCCCTCTTTTCTGTGGTTCCTCCTGGTGACCTGAAGTCAAGTTGTTCAATAATTTCCTAAGGAACGCAAGGAGCTGCCAGTGAAGTGAATTACTGCTGGGACAATACTGAGACACGTTTTCACAGCCACTCACCACAACATTCAAATGCAGTCATTCTCACTGCTCAAGGCGATCTCTGCCTCTCCTGTTCCACAATACAACCAGCCTGACTATCTGCCTCGTCTCCAGTGACTGCCGCTTCAAAACACCGAACCCTTCCTGCAAGGTTCTTCTTGACACAGAAGTCAGCACTGCACATAAGCCCGAATGTCAGTTCCTCCGAGAAAACCTGAAGCCAGGTTAAGTGTTTACTTGAACAGCGTTAGAACAGCAAGGAGCTGGGCATGTTCCAGTGTCTGGAATGACACTGATCTTGCTGATGATCTTGTCTACTCATCTTCTCCAGGCCAGTCACTTACAACCACGCAGCTACCATGAGGCCACATCCACACTGCGGAGCCCTTGGAACAATCCTCACCTCAGTAATCCACAGGTCTCTGTGGCCACTTGTTCAGAGACCTCTTCAGAATGTATTACTGCTCTCCTTCTCCAGCGCTTTCATGCTTTTAATTCTTTTAACTTTGAGCAGGGCCACATAACCAGGGAAATGAGCCTGTAGCCATAAATCTTCTCTGTCCCTGACCCATGGGTTCTGAGATAGCCCAAGGCACCCCAATACAAGTGCACAGGGTCTCCTCTGGGACCAACATGGCCTTTTGAGTCCCAGACAATGTAGCAGTTGGAAACATTTTTTTTTTTAAAAGGTATTTCTTTAGAGAGAGGGTCTGAGGTTATAAGACTGCCTGACAGTCTGTCATTTTGCACTTTTACAGCATGATGCCAAGAGTATGAGCCAAGGGATGCATCATGAAGATACAAGGCTAAGCCATTGCTGGAAGACTGGGCTGGGCAAAGAGAACGGGGAGTGGTGAGGTCCTCTCTTCTTTTCTGCCTATTGGATTAAATTAAGCACTGAGCTGCTCCCAAGTTTTGTCTGGAGAGGGATCTAGTTGTTATGCTCCTTAAGAGATCCCAGTAGCGACTGACTTCCATGCATGGACATATGGAGTAGAACAACCCTGGAGCAGAAAACAGAGGAATCTAAACTGACAGATGCGGCCTGTGACCACTGCTATTAATCCTGCTTATTAACCACGTTCATAAAAGTAGCAAGGTGCCTATTACTGCTTATCAGTCTTTTGTTGATGCTCTAATAATCTATGTCCTGCCATGATTGGTGGCTACAAGTAAATAAATAAAACATTCAATCAATTCATGCTTCCCCTTAGAAGCACCCTCTCACAGTGAGGTGCTGTGGGAAGAGAGGAAAAAAAAAAAAAAAAAGTAGTGCATCTATGATGAATATATATCTTGGGCTCAAGTGAGAAAAATGGCTATTCGATCTCAGTGGAGAAAATAAATTTTTTTACGCTACTCCCTTACACAAGGCAAACATGAATTACACTTCCCCTAATGCTCTCCCTGTCTTCAACCAAAGAATTTTTTAAAAGAAGGAGCCAAGCAGAAGTAGCAACATTATGTTTCTATAAACAGATTTCTCTTTCAGGAAATTGATGTTAAAATGTATATATCACACACATGTTAAAAAAATATTACTTTCATAAAGAAAGTAGTGTATGTTTCCTTA